CTCTTATTTTAGTATCAAAATGATTTTGAATTTGGGATGAAAGTCTTAACAAGTTCTTTTACCATATTTTACCACTAGACTATAAATTATCTTTGAAATATGGGACCTTTAAAATTTTATAATATTATTTGGGGTCTGAAACGAATGGCTTTTTAATTACATGGTAGGCAAGCACAATCGTGCCTAGAAAAGTTCAAAAGGAATAAGGAGTCATTACACGTTTCACTATCTTATACATAGGGGTGGAACGATTCCGGATATCCTGGAATTTGAAGGTATCCGGATCTGGATCCGTGGAAAAACTATCCGATTTGGTTTGTATCATCTAGCGCACAAAAGCGCAATGTTTCTCTCCATACATAGGGTCTAAATAGTAGCAGAGAAATTTTGCGAAATTGTGGAATCTTGCAGAATTTTTGATGATCTTTTGCGGAATCTTGCGAAATTATTTTGATTGTAAATTGGAACAGCTGAATTTTGCAGAATGTAGAAAAATTTTTCAAAATAAATAAATTATTAATTAATTAGAGTTTTTTGTCAAAATTAAATATTTTCGTTTCTAAATGTATTAAATTATACAAAATAATAATTTTTATTGATTTAATCTTCTCAATCCAACTTATTACAATAATATTTTTTTATTTCAAGTTGATATTAATAAATATCTTTTTTTGATTATTAACTACTAAAATATGCGTAAGAATTTTATAAATTTACAATGTTATCCATAAATGTCTTTTTTTTATTATTAACTACTAATCCAATTTTCACAATGCTAACTATAAATGTCTGATTTTTTTCTGTGCTGGCACACAACTCAAAATAATTAAACATAAAATCTGCAAACTTCCACAAACTTTCTGTAACGTCCGTGAACCAAAAATGTGATTTTTGGGCTGTGCGTCGATCGACGCAGTGTGTGTCGATCGACACAATGTTTCGACTTGTGAGAAGTCGCGATTTCGGGTGTTGCGTGTGTCGATCGACACAAGGTGAAATTGAGCCGGGTTGGTTCGATTTTAATCGTCCGGTTTGGCGTTCGGTTAACAGAAACCCTAGGGCTTGCTATATAAGCGTGGAGCCGTGTTTGGGGTTGGGTTTTGGACGGATTTTAGAGAGAAAATGAGAGTTTTGAGAGGATTGAGTATTGTGAAGGAATCATCCTTGATTTCCTTGAATTCTTGGTCCTAAAAGCATGTTTTGTGAGTGGTAAGGCTCTAAAATCATTTTGAGAACGTGTGCTTGGTGACGAATGAGAGGATTTCAGATTTGGTGAATAAGATTTGGAGTGTTCTTCGCGTTCTTCGTAGTTTCATTCCTTTTTTCTTCCAGAACCAAGGTGAGTGCGTGACCATGGTTTATCTGGGTAAAAGAATTGATAGGATGCGTTTGATTGTTGTTATTGATTGGATTTTGTGTGGTTTTGGTGAGTTTTGGTGCAGGAGATCGATGAGATGTGTTCTAGAATCGATCCGTGAGAGGAGACTTGAGTTTGTCTTTCTAGTTCAGTTTCCTGAGATAGCATATTGCTATGAGTGGTTTATGTATTTTTGGTTACGTTGTAACGGCTTATACATTTTTGAGATTAATAAGATGAATATTTTTTTTTTTTAAATGTGAATTTATTTATCAACAAAAAAGAGTTACAAAATTTAATAAAAAAGAAACCTTAATGATCAAACAGAAACAAAGCACAAGTTATTGCACTAAAAAAACAGAGCAAACTAGTGAAATTTTTTGAAAAACCGATCAAAAAGGATCCAAAGAGAGATCTTAGATAGACTAAGAGTAATTCCTTAAGTTGGGAGCCTAGGATCTCTAGCCAGTGATTAGGCCCCTCATCATCTTCTGGTTCCGTACTTCGTTCTCTCCTACATGAGAGAAGGCGGTTATGAAGCTCCTTATGAATGATGTGTGCAAGACCGAGCGGTGAATTTGGAGAGCGATTGTGTCGTCTTCCATTTCTTTCTTTCTAGTAGACAGTTGATTGGAACGCGACTCTCCTCCAACTTGGAGAGTCGATTTCGCATTAGAGAATTCGCCGTCAAAGTCCAGTCTGGATTTATCCTTGAGCCTAGAAGTCTTGAAAGAAGCATGGTCCAGAGTGTGTAGGAGAATGAACATGCAAAGAATAAGTGGTCACGTGTCTCGTTAGGTTTGCCACAGTGCAAGCATGGTTGGTGCTCTCCCCATTGGCGCATGCGGTCTCCCGTTGACAATCTATTTTGAAAACCAACCACAAGATGAAGGCTTGTCTCGAAATAGCTTGAGGAAACCAGATGATGTGATGCCAAGGGACAGCTTGACGGGGCTGTCGGATTTGATTCCACGTGTGTCGAGTGGAGAACTTTGGCTCGTACTTGTCATGAACCTGCAACCAGAGCATGCGATCTGGCCCTGCATGACTCGAGGGCGTTGGAGCTTGTCTTATATGTTGACTCATGCCTTGAAGATGGAGCCCTCTCGTTCGCCTTATTTTCTAGTTGTTTCCCTCTGCTACATCAGCGACTTTAGCATTACGCCTATTACCTTGGAGTCTTGTACCAGCTTCCCCGGTGATGTGGATCAAAGGTCCCACACTTAG